CACATAATTATGTGTGCAGAAAAATATAAACTAACGTGCCCCTATGTAACCAATTATTGAATGAATAATGTTTTTGGTTTTTGTTAGTTGCCAAAGAGGGTGTTCACAATTAAATAAACAAACTCGGATTAAATCGTCCACATGTTTTACATAACATATGGTTAATAAGGAGTGAATGTCGTTATGTCATTAAGTCTTTTTGTTGCCAAGCAATAGTAAATAACAATAACATTTAGTTGAAGGGTGTACAAAAATCAAGTTGATTGAGTAAGGTGTGGATAGTACTGGCCTTTATTACAGAATTAAAAAAGACGTCAATTAATGGCTCAATAGCAGGTGTAAATGCTGAGAAAAAAGTTTTATAACTGCATTGTTTTTAGTTTATCATAATTATTAGCTGCAAAATGTTTGTATATGTTGTACTGTTAACACGCACACACACACACACACACACACATATATATATATATATATATATATATATATATATATATATATATATATATATATATATATATATATATATATATATATATATATATATATATATATATATGTATATGTATATACATATATATATATATATATATATATATATATATATATATATATATATAAGTGCATATTATAATAAAATGACATAACTGCAAATCAATAGACGTATTGATTAATTTAGTTAAGCCTTTAAGAAATATGCATGTTCAGCTAACAAATACATGTAATTGTTTACGACATGATGACACTGTAAAACAAAAATTTGCCTGATGAAATTATGCGGAAAATTCTGTAATCTAGATATATTACTTCTCAAGAAATGTATCCAGATTAAAGAGATTCCATAATCTACATATCTAGCTATCATATATAAAACCTGGATTTTAAAGTTTCGGTATATGAAACTCTGTAATTTTATTTAGAATCCTGGTCCTAAATGAATCAAACATGTAGCATAATTTAAGCAAAATGCCTTCTCTCTCTCTCTCTCTCTCTCTCTCTCTCTCTCTCTCTCTCTCTCTCTCTCTCTCTCTCTCTCTCTTTCTCTCTCTCTCTCTCTCTCCGTGGAACAAGAGTACATACTAGGAGAGAAACAGGCATTTAACACTGTATATGTACTTATAAGGATAGAACTGAATGCCAAACAAGATTGGCGATTCAATACTATTATAGTACATATCAATATTACGTTAAGCTTAAAGACTTAGATCAACTCTATAAATTACTACAAAACAATGAAATTGTTCTTTTTGGTAAGTTATTTCTGTTTGCTTATTCTCCCCTACTTGCTTTGATGTACTGGATAGTGATTGATAAACCCAAGTTGTACAGATAATCTTGAAATGCAATGTTTGTAACACACATATAAGTGTGTGTAATCTACATCAATTATATTTGAATTAATGATTGCGTACAAAGCTAGTCTTTCATATAAACCATTCTGGACGATACATTATTTACACTATGATTTGGTTATCTTAATTAAATGTAATGCTCATGCTTAAAAATGATTTTCATAAAACATGTCTTAATACAAATTTGTAAAACTAGCACTGCTACAACACTGAACAGTTTTCTTGCCTATCATCACTGGATAAGCCCTAGTTCGTATGCACGCAGTGATGAGATCTCGAATATCTGTAAAGGCGAGCATAGTTAACCAATTTGCTACCACGGCCTCCACAATGTACACGTGAATTATAATGGTATGTTGCACTGACAAATAAGTACCTAATTATATGGTTTCATTTAGTCTTCTTTCTCTTGGTTACGCTTAGTTTTGGTGTGTTTTCTCATGGATGCTATACTAAAGAAAACCTATCATGTAGAAACTAAACATAGTTATTCTTATCAAGAAAAGTGCTAGCATATTTTCAGTTCTAGACATATTTTAGAGTAACAAAGTAACTTTCAAACATAACATAACTCAGCCAACACTGTGGGGCGCATGGAGACATTTTGCGTGCTCCAAAAAGCCTCACCACCTTTGTTATCTCTCCTGACACGTTGGGACACAAATCATGTTGCGGTATACGGGATACAATACGGCGAACAGCATATTTGAGACGACTGATCTAGAGCACTCATACAACTCTAGGCATTAAGTGTAGAATACTGACAAAAAAAATATGCCAAGGCTTGGACATAATATTGCTAGAAAACCTATAATAAACCTGTATTTGCATATAGTTATTCACCTCTTAACCTTGTCGTGTGTTCAACACGCATCGTTCTATACAAATAACTCATGCTTTTATTGGTACCACTCTGAAAGTTTAATCATAGTATATCGCGCACTAATCTTTTTTTCAATGTTTTTAGCGTATTGATATCACTTATATTACATATCAGCAATATTTTTTTTAATATAGTGTACATATACAGGGCCTTTGTTGCCTCAGTTGCAATAGAGTCACTACAGACATCAACGGACTGACATTTCGTAAAATCTAACCAATATACTATTTCCATAGTTCCTTCACTGAAATAGATGTGGTTTTTATTGCATAATTTCGTTTGTAAGTTTAAATTTAGCTTTACACATATATTTGTTCACTCCTTAACATATCGCATGATGAACGAGATACAATGTTGTAGAAAATTCTCTCCTTAACATATCTTATGATCAACGATATACAATTTTGTAGGAAATACGTTGTTTCCTACTCATAATTATGATGAGGACATTTTTGATCTAATACAGTTAATTGTCTTTTTGAATACATAAATTATCAACGGCAGTATTTTCTCGACACTAAAAGTTTAATAATTATATGATTCGAAACATATGTTATTAATAAGTTGGCAACTCATGAATTCAGACGAAAACAGGACCTTAATGCATACGTATGCATTATCATTTAAATTAAGAGGTTTAAACGTAATCATTATTCAATTTCTAGAAGTAATAATATTCTCATTTTAATGAAATATAATCATACTTTATGCCGAGCTGTGATTGGATAGGTTAGAATACATTTGAACGGGGTTATTTCATGACTGAGCAACAATATATTAATTTTAATGTAAACGTGCATGCAGAATATGAATGTTTTTTTCATGTAACTATGATGTAAATATCTACTTGAAAATTCTTACCTGTATATAAATCTCAAACATCCCTTTGCATATGTATGTATGTATGTATGTATGTATGTATGTATGTATGTATGTATGTATGTATGTATGTATGTATGTATGTATGTATGTATGTATGTATGTATGTATGTATGTATGTATGTATGTATGTATGTATGTGTGTGTGTGTGTGTGTGTGTGTGTGTGTGTGTGCTTGCGTGCGTGCGTGCATGCATGCGTGCGCACGCACACACACACACAAACACACACATACACACACACACACACATATATATATATATATATATATCTATATATATATATATATATATATATATATATATATATATATATATATATATATATATATATATATATATGTATGTATTTTTGATTATAAAAAATGTATTTTATACATAATAATAATATGAATAAAATTGTTTATCTCTATTTATCGATACAACTTTATGAAATGATCCACAATATAGATATATGTATCTTTACGATCCAGTTTTATGTTTATTTAAATTTTTAGATAGTAATAAATGTGATAAATTCATACGTACATATCAACTGTTCGTTAAAGAATAAGACTTAATAAGAATGTAAGTATGACGTCGTCTTTTTTATATCATAATTTTTATTTATTACATTGAAACAGAGTATATTTAATGACGTAAGCAATGTTATTATATGCTCATTGTTTTCCTTCATTAACTTTACATTGTCAGAATCGTTCAATTTTCCCCGATGTTGAACACTTTCATACTGCATGCCGCGCGTTATGGCACTATTTTCGAACTTAAACAATTTTTTTTATGAATGAACTAAAGCAAATATTTCATGGACGGCCACATACCAGCAAATGTTTCATAGGCTGACACATACAAGCTTCTTTGCCACATTTCGCGTTTACTTGTTTGATACAATATTTTAAATTTAGCTATATATAGACGCTATACAGGGTCCTCACAATAAAACGCAAGTTATACACACAAACTGTCATCTTTAGCTGTTAATAAAAATGGCCAAAAATATATTCACAATTTTACGTCCTGAATCTCCTCCAAAAGTATACTTTAGTAGGTCTGTAAATCTGAATTAGATGAGCCATGTTATGGGCTCTCAAACTTGTTTACACATTTTTAAATTTTACTGTAATACCAAGTATATTCCATGTGCAGTTACATCCACCTTACTGCACTCAAAATGAAATAAACATTAAATTTCACGCATCTTTTCGATAATTGCAACGTAAAGGCTTCGTAATTTTCCAACATTATGATATGACTCATTCAATGACAGAAAAGGAACACGCATGTCGATGTCAACACAATTCAAAACGATTATATTGGCAGAAGCTGCTGGAATCCGATGCAAATCATTTCATGTAGAAAAATTCAGACCATAATCAAAAGATTGCGTTGAATCGACAAAGCTACCAAAACTTATTCATTCCATATCAAATGGAAAAGTTGTTGCAATGCGTATTCATTAACAATATTACACCAAATTTAAATTTTAAGTAGAACAAGCGCCATTTTCTTTCGAAGCTTACGTCTTACGCTACAAACTTCATATTTTTCTGGATCGAGTTATGCGCTCATTAATGACGTTGTGTAATTACCCATTACCACTTATGTATTTAGTTTGGAATACGGCGTACATATTGTTACTTTGTTTCTTGCAGTGTATTTTTGTTTATATATTTAAGCATTGGGAAGAATAAGAAATGAGCATATAATAAAAAGGTTACTGTTTTGTATGAGAAAATATGAACTCGCTGTCGGAAGGAGATACTGAATATATATATATATATATATATATATATATATATATATATATATATATATATATATATATATATATATATATATATATATATATATATATATATATATATATATATATATATATATATATATATATATATTTTGGCCTGGTGGTTAAAGCGTCCGTCTCGGATGTGGAAGGTCGCAGGTTCAAAACCCGGCTGAGTCATATCAAAGACTTGAATAAAATGGTACTAACGGCTTCCTCGCTTGACGCTCAACATTAAGAGGTTGGTGTATGTTCTTTTTACAATCAATTAGACCCATCGACAAAGTGTACCGTAAGAATAATTATCGTGCTTAGTGGTGATAATAATAAACTAAATATGAGATATAACGAAAGGTTAAGATTTAAAACATAACTGCATTAAGCAAGTTTGATATTAAGTTATATCAATCTGATATTACATTTCATTATAAATATTAATATATCACTAGAGTAAGTTCAAAATTGATTAGTTCATTTTGCTTTTGTGTTTTTAGTATTAAGACATTAGAAAAATATGTAGTGTGTACATTATTTTATGATTATGTATTTGCCTGATGCGGTAAGCTAACATTATCCATATGATCAAAAAGATACCACCAGACTCATAAATTACTGAAAATTTAGATCTTCCTTACACAGTTATATTTATTTAAACTGTAAGCCTATATAACAGTCAATTAAACATATTCATTTTTGAATCTTCATATTTTGAAATTGGATGAACAATGGATGTCATTTAAATCCATCTTTCAGCATTTTTTCTAAATTTTGTCTACTAAGGAATTGCTATTATTGTATTCACATTTACTTCACATGTCGTTATCTCCAACATTCTGATATTAACGCAGTGCAGGAGTGCGAAATATAAAATTGCATTACTTTTTTCCTAATCAGTATTATGTGATCTAATTTTTGGGTATATTGTATGTTTGGTATTTATTCGACATTTTACAGATAGTCAGCCCTAAGTAATAAAACGCAGTTATTTATAGACTAAAGTCTGTTTCGAGTAAGTCATTTTATAACTAAACAGACGAATTGAATTCACTTACACGTTGCATGCATAAAAGTATGCCAACAACTTCTAGTTCTTATATTTCTCATAGATTATTTGTTGTCGGATACATTTTCTTGTAAGAACATGTTTGTATTTATAATAATAATAATAATAATAATAATAATAATAATAATAATAATAATAATAATAATAATAATAATAATAATAATAATAATAATGATAATAATAATAATAATAATAATAATGATAATAATAATAATTAAGCATATTAGTTATATTGAAATGATTTAATATTTAAGGAAGCAAATTCACGTGTGCGCATGTAGAACGTATAGCATTACTTTTGAATTTGATCATATGTCGTTTACTACATTGCTCTAGCCTTGCTATTTTTAGTTGAATTTAATCGAGAGTCGTTAAAATTTATGAAGTTTCAAATATGCTGATGTCGATGGTGACGTTAGCTTAGAGAACGGTATTGACCTTGCGGTGAGCTTGGGGACTAATTGGTCTGAAGGGTAAAAGGGAGCTAAGGAGGGATCCTTGACCATCCAATCAGAGTTGTGCAACCGGAAATAATTTGGGATCGTTAACTGGACATATCTAACTTCTGGACGAAACATTATTCATATACTTGTGCCACATTGTGTGAGAGACTTTGCTCACAATTCCTGCTTCATGTTTACTAGTATGTTCTGATAGAATTCGTAATTCAATGTACTTCAGGTTATGTTAATCTGTGTTATATAATATTGCAACTTTACACCGACTCTGAAACAAAGAATCTATCTGTCTTCACTTAGCTTTGCCTCACAGTCAAGTTCGCATTTAGTTCAAAATAGAACATTGCCGTGGTGGTAAAAAAAAAACTCTGTTTTGCAATCAGCCATTGATGTCACTGACCGGCTTGAGCTTATAGACCGGAAAACCCGATATAATAACGTATCAGTGCTAATACCCTAAACAGCTTTCAAAGAGATAACAGGTATCCAATCAGAACTAAAACAAATTTTGTGCGTATATCTCACTCAGCCAGTATCCTGTTACATTTATTTTGGAAGAATCTGTACAGTTTTGGAAGGGACTAAAGAAATATCACGTTCTCCAAGGGCAAATTGTGTACTAGTAAAAAAGAGCGAGACAATTAGTTCTAGGAAATTTTGACGAGATTTGGAACAAAGAATTCTGCGGTAAACTTTCTTCGCCCGAATTTTTCTCGCTTTCTTAACTAGGTGTTGTATGATTTACGTCATTAAGTACATTTAATTTAGTACAAATTTAATCATCTTTGTAAAGCCGAATTATCAACATGTCGTAATGTAGCATATAGGAAATTATTATTTTTCCAGAATAATGTGTTTAGTTGTTAGGATATAATCGAAGCGGATGATTTATTTGCTTCGATGTTGCAACGTGGTGCATAACTGAATTTAATATAAAGTAGTGTTGGAACTTCCACTTGTTTGTATTTGAATACATGGTTGCGGATTATGCAGAGTTCTGTATTTTCGGCCTTCTGCACGTATAATTAGGCATTTTATACTTTTGTGGGTCTTTAAAAATTTGCAAGGTAGGAATGCATAGGAATATTGTTGATGATGATAATTTACTATATCGAGAATTAGGTATATGAGTGTACGTATCTGAAGTTGTGATATCATTGTTGTTGTTATAGCCTTAGTTATAGAACAGGCGTGTGTGGAATATTTAGATGTGAGTGTATGAGTTGAAGTAATAAATTCTGCTGATAAAAGGTCTGTGACAGAGAAGACTTAGAGAACACGGGAGAATAGGCAGCTGTGTGCAGAAGAAGGGCCGGAAGAATGGACAGTTGTGCGAAGACGCAGGGCCGCATAACAAAAACAAGTGTACTGATAGTGCTGATGTTGCAGATAAAAAATATAGAAGCAACAGAGGAACGAAACATTCTCACCTTTAGTTTCGCGAGAATAAATAACTGGTAATTTTGAATAGGTCTTGAATTAATTTTTAAAAAAATGGATTTACATCATAAATAAACGTGTTTCATAATATTACATCAGCGCCTTCGCTAACATCTAATCACTACTCCGCTTCATCCCATTGTACGTACCATGGTAGACTTATAATTTATTCGTGTTTAATTAGAAGGAACCGGAGATCAGAGATGCTACCTATTAACTTCCGAATTAAGAGAAAAGGGTTTGGTTTTATACTGACTCTGTCCCAATGCAATTTGTTTTTCTATTCCTGACAAAGGGGAACAAATGGACTATAATTGCAAAGATTTTCAATAAAACTGATGCAGCCATGAACTGGCCGTCCAGTTCAGTACAATTAAATTATGTGTGCTTGTGTTAGATCAGAGAGTCAATATACGTTATATTCCATGTTTGATTGCAAGCCAAATAACAACCTGCGCTAAATGCTAAAAAGAACTATTAATTTTAAGAAATATTTGATATTTTAGGTACGTTCGTTATGTAGAACGTGTTTATTTTGATGAGTGTTTTAGTGATCTTTTTTTTTGCTCAGATCTTTTGGTGATTTATAATATGCGATATAATATTATCGACGATAATTGTATCATTTGATCTGCTATAGGATCCATACATAAACGAAGTTGGTTTTGATATCTAGTTTAACTATTGTCTTCGATTGGGTAAATTAAAATATAATATTAATGGAAAACAAACCAAAATCAAGAAATCTATTTAATTAAAAATGTTGCGTTGATGATAATAAAAGATCTCCAGACAAATAAAGATTTACATGCATCAGTGATGCGTAAAACATTCTCTGCTTTTTTGAGGCGGCAGTCCTGTAGATACGTAATAAACGTTTTGACAGCATTGACAGGAAAACTGTTGACACCGGTTGTTTGCTATATGCTCAAATGCATGGGGTACCGAAGGTCATCATTATAACATATTTTCTACCACACAACATTTAATACTCAAAGAGAGAATGATATCGACTTTGCGAAAAGAATATAATTAAATAATTCTCCCTATATTGAGCAGAAACATTTAAACAATTTAATACATATACTGGTATTTGAAGCATTGATCGCAGCATTCGTGAACGCTTAAGTCGAAACAAGACAATTATATCTAACTGTGTATTGTTTGTGTTTGACCGCCTTTGTTTTGTTCTTCGACAGTGATTTGGAGAAAGTAGTGGCCAAAAAAAGTATAAAACTATATTGAAGCTAAATTACAACATAAATAGAAACAGGTCTGTTAAAAGACTTGAAGATTAATGTTTATCGAACGCAAGTTTATACCTACAACCAACTAGCTGAAATCAGAGCAACATATTAGCTGACGTATATAGCCACAAGCAAGAGATTATATCCTTGTGAAATAATACACGCAAATCACAAACAAGGAACATATTTTTAAAACACTCCTTGCTGCAACGCTAATATTTGCTTCAAATATCTATATATAATGCATGTTCCGTATGATATTTCTACATACTGTACTGTAGATACGATGTAATAGAGCTGTCTTAAAGATGTAATGCTCATGCAGTACATTAACCTTGGTCAGCCAGACAAGTAACAACTAGAATTGACAAATGCGGTAGACATCTTGTTAAATCGTTAGCCTGCAGCAACTTTAACATCCTTGGTCTGAAGCGTTAATTTTTAATTAAAATCCGTGATAACTGTCAGACGGATGACAAGACCGGGTGAATTAGGAAATCTAAGTGCAAGCTAATAATAGAGTCCAAACATGGAGGGACAATTATTTACTAATTGAAATAAGTTTCACAAAATGAAAGTTTTCAGAAATCGGTATAAATAAGGGCGGAATAGAGAGAATTATCATAACATTGATGGACGTGTATTAGTAAAGATGGATAAGTAAATTTAATCCAAAGTAAGTTAAGGAGTTTGCTATTCCCAGAAAGTATTCTCTCATGATAAATCGTCATATAAATGGGTGAATGGAAGAGTGTGGAAAACAGTACCTCAAATGTAAATAGAGATTCTACTACGATACTATTACAGCGAGTTCCGAAAAGCATGAGATATTTGCATCAATCCAATACAATTTGTATGAATTTTTCAGTACATACATACATACATACATACATACATACATACATACATACATACATACATACATACATACATACATACATACATACATACATACATACATACATACATACATAC